GAATAACTCAAATCACTCTATCAAAAAGATACCTGCACACGAATGTTTATTGCAGCATTGTTCACAATAGCAAGAACCTGGAACCAATCACGCTGTCCATCAAAAGAGGACTGGATTTTAAAAATGTGGTACATATATACGATGGAATACGATGCAGCATGAAATAGAACAGAATCATGAATTTCACAGCAACCTGGATGGAGCTAGAGTCTATAATACTGAGTGACCTCTCACAGAAACAAAGATCTGAGTATCACATGTTCTCACTCATATAGTGGACCTTGATCATCTAACGCACTACCATAAGAAAATGACTGAAAGTGGTGGGAAACTATGGGGGGAGGGGAAAGGGGATGGGACTAATGGTAGTAAACATCTGTCTGGAGACGGGGAGACACCTGTTATCAACAAGGGGGTCTAAATGAAGCATATTTGTATACCTAACCCTTAACTGTACCCCACAACATCATCATAAAAAATATTGATTTAAAAAACAAAAAACAAAAAAAACATTGATATAGAAACAGGAAAATCTTAACTGAAAATCTTGGCATGAGAAAGGTGTGGGCAAAAATGGTGCTGAAGAAACCCTTAAATCATGACAATGCACCCACTCACACCGCACTCACTGTCTGTGACGGAGTTTTTAGCCAGTAAACAAATAACTATTGGAATACCTTCCCTAATCAATTGCTCTGGCCCCCAGTGACTTTCTTCTTTACCCAAAGGAAATAATGAAAAAAAGACATTTTGATGACATTTAGGACATCAAGGGTAATACTATGACAGTTCTGATGGCCATTCCAGAAAAAGAGTTCCAAAACTGCTTTGATGGGTGGACCAGGTGCTGGCATCAGTATATAGCTTCCCAAGGGGAGTTCTTTTAAGGTGACCATAGTGATATCCAGCAATGAGGTATTTACCACTTTTTCTAAGATGAGTTCGTGAACTTAATTGTCAGACCCCATATTGTACATACATGTATGTATATATATGTTTCAAGAATTGGTATGTGTCGGTATATGTGTGCATGAATATATATACACACACACAAATGTGTATGTATATATATACATGCACACACACATTTCAAGAATTCTTTTACACACACACACACACACACACACACACACACACACACACAGACATATACATAATTGTTAAAAAAGCTTTCAAACACAGGTGGCTAGGAATGTCTGGACATTCTCAGCCATAAGGAACAACTCAGGGATAGGGACAGGTGGGGCAGTGTGTAAGAAGAACCTCAGACACCAATATGTTTTCTTTCATTCAAGAAAAAGATACACAGCTTCTCAACAGGTTATACTGTATCAAAGTGTAATTTTGGAAAGATTACATACTTCTTTCCATATATATATAATAGAATTAGTATGTGAATTTTCTCATATGGAAAGTTAAATCTTAAAAAGAAGTTACAAGATAAATCTGACCTATTTACAAAAATATGTCATTAGTATTATAACAGGCTTTTAGAAAGTATTAATCTGAATTATATCTATTTACCTTTATTAGAAATTTCTCTTTAAATGATTGTGGAAATTCTTGTTCATTCTCTGATTCTGAATTTGAGAGATCTTTATAATTTTTTTTGGTTATTGCTGCTCTTCGTGGAAGTCTGGTTCTTCCATCTGGAACTGTCTTGTCTACCTTTTGGGTGATGTTTTCATTGGTTGTCTTTAAAGGAGAAAAATACCTGAATATTATTAGATCAATATTTGAGTTATAGAAATACAAGCTATTTGTTATAAGAATGGCACCATACATAAGCTATACATAAAACATTTGTAAGAATAAAATTATTGATTAACATTTTAAATGAATAAATTTTACCTTCTCATTTGAACTACCTTCCATACTACATCTTTATCTCTTGAGAGGCCTAGTATATATTACTAAAGTAAAAGATATTTAAAAAAAATACCTAAAACCACAGAATAAAATGGACTCAAAATGAGGCTAACATGATTCAAAAAAACAAAGGTTAGAAGAAAGTGTGCAAACGTAGGAACAATTATGGAAAACAACTGCTAACAAAGGTAAAATTATGAGATGACAAATTATATTCATATGAGAAAAAAATTTAAGCAAGTTTGAGCACAAACTTCTTGGATTACCATTTTATATCCTGGTTGTCTTTTTTCCAAGGATGATCCTGCAATTAAGACAAATAAGGTTACATTTTTCAAATAGATAAAAATTGGCATTAGATTAGAACATCATTTCTGCATATATAATTTTTTTTTTTTGAGTTGGAGTCTCACTCTGTCGCCCAGACTGGGGTGCAGTGGCCGCTCCTG